TAGATATGGATTTGAAACCAGAGAAAACATTTGAACAGAAGTTGACTTTTTGCATTGGCTTATCATTATTTATTTCATATTTATATGTGTATAGCTCAGTTTTTTCAGTGAATTTATGACAAAAGACTATTGTCTCGTATCTTTTCAGGTCTTGAAACATAAAGTAGACAACATTAAGCGAATGTGTTCTCATCCTCTGATGTCACTGTGTGAGTAAAAACACTTTATTAAGTTGTATTATTAATTTTAAATTTGACTATATAATTTGTGCCATTCTAACCTTTTCAGATTTGACTGGGGGGCAAGATGGTTCAGTACAATTATGGGAATGGGGTCATCAGCAAGTGGTATGTACTCCAAGAGCACCAGGAACTTTTGCCAAAGTAACTAGAGCGAGATTTTCGCAGCATGGAAATAAATTTGGTATCGGTGACGGAGATGGCAATCTCAGCTTATGGCAAGTGGGATTAGCCAGTAATGCAAATCAATCATTCTTTGTAAGTCGATAGATTAATTACTGCTGTTGATTCATAAAAACTTCATATTTAATATTTTTTCAGACATACCAGTGCCATAACAAAGGAATTGGAGATTTTGTGTTTTTGGGTTCTTGCAGTTTATTAGCTACAGGTAATGAACCATATTATTACCTTGAATTATTCCTTATTATCATTTATTCTTGAATTATTATTATTATATTGAATAAATATTATTATTTTGCATCTACTGCAAGTAAAGACTGATAGTTAACTGATAATACATCATATGCCATCTAATTATTTCATATTTATATTCTTTAGCTGGCCATAGTTCTGAGAGCAAAAATGTTGCAATGTGGGATACTTTGATGCCAAGAAAGAAATCCCAGGTGACTGCATTTACATGTCATGATCAAGGTGCCTCTAGTTTAGTCTATGCACCCCAACATCAGCTCCTAATCTCAGCTGGTAAAAAAGGAGATGTTTGCATTTTCGATGTCAGGCAAAGGCAATTGCGACATCGTTTTCAGGTACGCACATTATTTATTTTATATTTATTAAATATATTATATATATATATATATATATATATATATATATATATACACATACAATGTACATATATAATACATATTACTACACCTATTGTACATTATTGTATAATATAAGGTATAAGGTGAACGTTTCAAGTACAGTAAAACCTCCATTATCCGGACTACTACCGAGACAAAGTTATATGTACCTACAATTCGAATTTTTGCACTGATCTAAGAAAATATATATTGTACGTACATAAGGAAATGTTAATTTCTTATTAAACATTGATTTTCGTTGATATCTATGTATGTATTTGTTATTTTTGATAAATACACATCATTATTCTTCATACATTGGATTATCCGGATGCCTATCGACAGCAATTAGTCCGAGGTTTTACTGTATGTATTTCGGTACTGGTTGTCAAGAAAATATTATATTTAGACCGGTTTTGGCGAATTGAAAGAATAACATATTTTGTAGTGCTTGTAGATTTATATGTGTAATTTCTAAAGAGTTGTATGAATATTCATAGCGCATTTTGTACAAAATAAACTGTCGTACAATATAATACAAAACAATATAACAATCAGAAAATTATTAGTCGAGAAATTTTTTTGATAATTTAGGTATGTATTTAATAACAATGAATACAACTTTGTGTATTTTTCCTGGATCAAGCTTACATCAACATTCCGATAGATGCAAATAATCGACATAATCAGTAAAGAACAAGTACATATTTTATGAGTGATTTATTTGCTGTTTCTATAATATGAGGAACTATTGCTTATAGTTTAAATATTATACCAAATGCAAATAGTTGTATGTCTTAAGAGCATACCTGTTTTTTCAAATACTGGACGTCGGCCCTAAATTCATAAATTGTCTTTTTTTTCAACAATTTATCGCAAAGTAACGGTCCAGCTGGTCGTAATAAATAATACAAATCAACGTGTGCCTTTCTTATGGAGGATTATTAAATGGAGTTCGAATGTTTTAAATCGATGCAGCCGTTTTTAACAAAACGGTGACGAAATTCACCTTTCGTCGGTTCACAGACAGACACATACATACTTTTTCTTAGTTTGGTCTCGCACGATTCAGAATGTCTTGAAACGTCGAGAAAACGAAAAACTAGCAAGTCGATCTTCTTCTGGAAGTTGTAAGAATTAAGAAAAATATAAAATATTTTTATTAAACAAAATAAAAAGAAATTAATAAAAAAAAATGCAAGCAATTTTTTGTTAGAAAGAGTAACGTTCTGTGAAGCAGCACTGAAACTACTAAAACCGATGTCGTACACAGGTATGATATAAACTGGCATGTTTATATAAACATATTTTTTGAAGTAACATAGACGGAAATAAATCCTATGATAAAAACTTTTACCACAATATCCAGTTACTAGAGACCGAAGGATCTTATGGAATGTTAAACGAAAACCGCGTTATCGGTAGTTTGACGCAATTCCCGCTCCGCGTAGTATGGAAACCTCATTCCCAGACTATCTCGTTTCTGGGGGATTGACTGTTATGCGTTCGTATTTGAAAGCTTCTACAATAAATTCTCTATTTCTATTAGGCCCATGAAACTCCGATCAAATGCTTAGCAATGGATCCAAATGAAGAATATTTTGTAACGGGTTCCGCCGATGGCGATGTGAAAGTCTGGGGTTTGTTTGTCCATCCTCACTTTTGCATTCATTCCCTGGCGAACACGCCAAAGGTAGTTTTTTCAAGACAATCGGTCAAGGCGTCACCCAGCTTCACACGGATGGGGCTGGCAGATATTTTCATGTGGCGTCGATGGTAGCATGAAAGTTAGACAATTGCCGCATCCACTTTACTAAATATTAGGTATGTACCTTGAAATTACTTGCAGACATCAATTTTGGTGATTTATCTAAAAAAAGTTGTTCAATACTATGAGTTTATTTAATTGGTCGTACTTATAATAAACTTAAAACAATTAAGTTTTATAAACAATCAATGTTGAATATTCCTTGTTATATTTTGGAATGTTTATATTGTAAGAGGAAATTGATGGTCTAATTTTTTTTTGTGTTTATTTATATACATTATCGGTCAGTATCCAGATCCAGTCTAGTTCATCTAGATTAGATCATAATTTTTTCTTCGATATATACTATAATTATTTTTGTTATTATTCTATTTTAAACTTATCGACGTTATTTTACTGACATCCCCAAGAAAAACTAGCTGGTCATAGATTTATTATACTAACATAATTTTGAATAAACAAGTGTATAACAGTATTACATAAATCAACAAAATGCTGTATCAAGTATTTTAAAATTAAATATTTTCATGTTGATCGTATACTAATAAATATTTCATGTTTAAATAATAAGAGACAATATTGCTGTTGTTAAAACTTTCTAGATAAATCTAAATTTTTCAATAAATTTATAAAATTTAGTTTTGTAATTAATTAATTGTGTAATTTGGGATTTTAAAGTAACATCACATAAAAAATACGTACAGAAAGTTAGTCGGTTAACCTAAATTTAATTAAACTAAAATTTAATATTATTTTTGTTAAATCATTCAGAAATATTATGTTATGAAAAATATTATGTAACAATATTATGTTATTAGGACTATTTTGATAGCCGCCTCAATTTTTTATATAAAATTGTACTAATAATTCGCGTTTATTTGTGATATTTAACTAATTTTATATAGTTCTTATAGTTAATATATATAAACATTGTTGATTAACTTACAGCTAAAAAAGTTTTTAAATATTGTGTAGTATAGTTATTGAATTATATATTGTACCAATTGTAATATTTATTGCTTAAATATATTATTCAAATTCTTGTTCATACCTGTACTTTCTTTAGGATTATGTATGATAATGTTGGTAAAATCGTTTGTTTATGCCTATCTATGATATTATGTAATTTCGGCCAAATAGTTTCGAGACGAGGTTATAGAAATAATAAATTAGTTGTTGTTTGATCATGACAAGTGCAACATAATGTGGATCGAATGTGATTTTGAACGAATTTACCGATGACGACTATCAAACTAAATGTTACTGTACATTGTGTGATTATTAATAATGGCGTTATAAAATAGTGTTAGTTTTTATTGTTTGAACAACAATCAGAACTACATGTGTTTGATGAACCGTTGTTGTGATTCCTTAACCTAGTGGTCATCAGAATGCAGCCCAGCGGTTGATCATTTGACGCCATATTTAAAGTTGGATTTTTTTATTTAATAATTTCACATATCATATTTTAGATTAAGTGAAAATCTGTTAGCACCATTGATTTATACCAAGATGGACGAAGTGGGTACCGAGTCTGGAACCAGTGGTTTCTAGAACCCCGTTTTGATCATGGAACCATGGCCGGTTAAGGAATAGTGGTAAGTAAAATATAATTATACTTGTTTTATTCGAAAAACTGTCTTATTAGACAAATGAAAACTTACTTTTTATAATACCATGACTTATTTTGTTATAATAAAAACTTTTGCATATTGTGCAAAATAGTGAACAGTCATACATTTAATGTAATAAGCAAATAATACACTATGCCGTCTGCGGAACATATTTGTACTTACAATTAGACAAGTCTGATGAATCATTGTATTTATAAATATCTAAAACCTTTATTTAGTAAACGATAGAGTTTTATTTTATTTCCATATCATTACAATCTGTCTGAAAAGTCATTTAGTAATTTTGGTGATTAATTTGTAGAAATATGATTATCAGATGGTACCCAGTGGTAGTCTTTTTAAGTGTGAAAACTAAATGATTAATGTTTGAGGGAAGCAAGTCTTTCGCTAGTTGATTCGGTTGATTTTTCAGTCTAGTCTTGCACTTACAATTTCATGCAAGTCTTGTGATTTTTTCTGTTACCGAAAGTATACTGAAGGCTCGGTGATTCAGCAGATTTTCGATTTAGTCAATTGACAATCGTTCTTTCTCTCAATGTTTACTTTTATCTGATTATATAATCCACGCCTACGTTCGTTCCCAAATGCACAAGTGCATATAAAAATAGTTTTTATTAAAATCAAAACTGTAATTAGTAGATGATAGATATGTATTTAATTATTTATTTAATAGAAAATTGTTCTTTCGCTAAACGTTTTCATTTAATCTTTTATTATGAATCATCAATCAACAGTAGGTACTATAACTTTATTAGTGTGATTTGCAATTTGTGATTGATTTAATATGAAATCATGCGGGTTTTGATACATTTACACTAATTCTGATATTTGACACATATCAGGTGATTGATAGTATAATATAACTGATCACATTTACGCATTAATACATGCTTGCGAATATATGGGAATGCTTTGGCATGCAAAATGTTTAATTCAATTACTTGCAATTGTCTTTGATAAAGGTATTAATTTAGTAAGATAGAGGGATATTGCAAATAATCAGAATTAATATTTGAATTGTTTGAATTACTTGCTAAACATTAGCTAGTATAGAACCACTTGCGTAACTTGGCAATTTGTATTAAAAAATGTTTGTGTTATTATATATATATATATATATATATATATATATATGTATATATATTACAATCGTTTATAATTTATGAATAAGTAGCTGTAGATTCAATTACTATTATTGATTTTCTTTGTTTTCGTTTTACGACTTAGTTTTATATTCGCTTTTATATTGGCGTTAAATAAGGAACATAACCCCGCATAAATCTATACATGATGTGGTAGGAATATCGGCGGGCAAAGACATACTTTTCCTTCTTAGCCTTTGGCGCCAGACCGTTTTATTCAGAATTTCTCCAACGTTTTGCTGAAGGAAAGATACAAGAATGGATTTTAAAAAAATTGGGTATATAATAATATTATCATTCATTCTTAATTTCTTTTACGAGGGGCGTATTTTTTTCATTTTGTTCATTAATAACAATAAAAAAATAAACTAAATTAGAATTGTTTATAATCAGGTATTCAATGATTTTACCATTCATTGCACGTTCTTTGCGATACGTGTATTGATTTTTTTTTAATTCGCTTTATCAATCAATCAATTTTATCAATGATAACAATCAGAAAGTTAACTAAGTTTTACACGTTGTATTTAATAGTGTTACCATTCATTATCAACCTCATTTACGATGCGTGTATTTCATTTTGTTCATTTTTTATCATTAGCAATCAGAACATTAACTACATTTCATAAGTAATTTTGATTTACATTTTTCATTTTTTTTATCTTTAACAACAATTTACTGCAACTATCTTGGTTTGTTCTTTTATTTTTCAAGGTGAATATTTGTAATAAAACTATAAATGCGTCGGACTATGAATTCGCATCGGATAAACTTTAAATTTTAATTAATATGATCTTATACGGAATAATTGGCCATAAAACTGGTACTAGTGATTATCTATGATTGATCTACATTATTAACACAATCCTCACATGTAACAGAACAATATTCGGTTATTGCTGAAGACGGTGCATTAGCAATGACGGCAAAATTAGTTTTTCATGCTAACTGAGAGATGATAGTATGATAACTTATTTTCATTTAAGGTAACAAAAGCATTATTTGAATTAAAAGTACTAAACATAACTATTACTTCAAATCTAGTTCATAATAATTATGTGAATATCACAGAAATATCACAAGAACCACTAACTAAATATTTGAGAGCAACACAACATTAACAAAAGTATAAATGTAGTTGAGAATATCAAATATTGACATACTTTGTGCAAGTTTATAGTTTCATAAAATTGAAAATTATGGTTTTTTTATAAAACTTGGTAACACGTAGATGGAATACCGATTATAGAACCTTTGAATAGAACCTATCGTATTTATAGTTATAATAATCTTGTTGTATTATTAATAATTGGGCATTTTAATATGGTGATATTGAAAGGGAAGTGATGTGGCGACATAGTTGGCCACGAATACGTATCATGACATTTTATAATTTGTAAAACGATCAGAGATATTAATATATTATTATAATTTTCTAATGCGGTCTATTCTATATAATTTTTCAACATTAGTAACTCAATTTTGGTTCTTCTTAAGCGAGTATAAGTCACCATTTAGCGATGTTTTAATTCCTAATATAATTAATGATCTTTTAGATTATGTTTTGACATCGAAATTATTCTAAACAATATCTCCGACATACATTTATTTTTATCGCGGTTCACTAGCTATATTTTTTCTTTTCTTTTTCTTTATTACCTATTAACTTCCACTTTATCTCGGTATATTACCCTTTGCGATCGTATATCGGTATAATAGTTTATAATGTACCGATATACGAGTGCAATGGGTTAATATTTTGATTAATATCATGATGTTTTGTAATTATTTATAATTTCATAATATGTAAATATTTTGGAAATTGCTAAAAAATCGTGCGATCACATTTTAGGAACCATTACACGTTTGCGTGCCAGTTCGACTCTAGGCGGCTACACTCACGTAGTATGTAGTGCTACAGGCATTGTCGTATATTAATATATCATGGGGATAATACTTGCATTATTTTTTTATCATGCAGGGCACGTAATTTTTTCTTCATGCAAAAATGAGTATTTTGATTCTAAATTATTCTGTATAGGACATATTTTTGTTGCTATATTAGTATATTTTAAATATTTTTGCTAAACGCATTAGTGTGTTAATATTATAAGAATAATATTGTTTATTAAAAAATATGCAGTTACTTTAAGGAGTTGTGGTAGTTATTGTCAAATAAGTTTTATATTGTTAACCATTTCTCCATTTTCTATAATTTAATTATATTATTTCAATTTATAAATTAACTTTAATATTACTCAATACTTTAGCAT